AACAGCGAAAATCAAAGAAGGCAGGTGGCAGGTTTAAAGCGCCTTCTCATATCTTTTCATATTTATCTTGAATCTTGAAACCTTTCTTCTGAAAATTCGTTTCCCAACTCTTTCACAGCTCTTTCCTTTCCGGCAGGTCTTCGCCGTCGTCGCCTGCTCCATGTCTTCGTGTCTCCATTGTGATGGATCCTGGTGGACGGTCTTTTGCCGGAGCGGCACGTGCCAGCGGCTTCGTGTTACTGGTAGTAACAAGTGCATCGCTAGTAGTAACAAGTGCCTTACTAGTAACAAGAAGCTACTAGTAACAAGTGCATCGATACTAGTAACAAGTGCCTTACTAGTAGTAACAAGAAGCTAGTAGAAACAAAAAGCTAATAGCTTCTTGCTCCTAGTAGCGATGCCAGGAGCCCCTAGTAGCGTCCTTGCTCCTAGTAAGGCCAGGTAGTAGCTTCTTGTTACTAGTAGCATGTGTAGAAGCCTGGTATAGTAAGACACACATTAAACGAAGTAGCACACATTAAAAGGGATTCCTTGCAGGATTTCCAATTGACCCCGAAGGCACACAATCAGTTGAGTGTTGAGCTATGTGGAGCCAGCCTAATCACGAGGAATCAAACACCCCACAAAAAGATCCAAAGCGCAAAGTGGAACAAGAAGCTACTAGGAACAAGTGCATCGCTAGTAGTAACAAGTGCCTTACTAAGTAGTAACAAGAAGCTACTAGGGGCTCCTGGCATCGCCACTAGGAGCAAGGACGCTACTAGTAACAAGTGCCTCGCTACTAGTACAGAAGCGACCGAAAGGTCGGTACAATTCGGTACGCTTTGGGCCAATACGCTAGAAGCTACTAGCGATGGCCTCCACCCTAGTAGCGTTGCACTTGCTCCTAGTAGCGATGCCAGGAGCCCCTAGTAGCTTCTTGTTACTACTAGTAAGGCACTTGTTACTACTAGCGATGCACTTGTTACTAGTAGCGTCCTTGCTCCTAGTAGCGATGCCAGGAAGGCGGCAACCGCAAAGTGAGGCAAAATGTAACATATCGCTGCAATATCGCTCTCACCCGACGGAAAAGCGCAACAAAACCAAGAACTGGAGCCGAGCCGAGGCCGAGGAGCAACACATCATAAAGGGCAAAAAATCATTAAAACCCTTTACCTCTGTTGCAAGGGCTTGACAAAGTTATCGTTATTGATTAAGAATCATTATTTTGGGCATTAGGTTTCTAGTACTTTTTGAAGGTATACGGTATATATATATATATATTTGTGTTTTTTAATAGTACCTTATGTTTTTGTTGAATATGGTTTACATATTTCGTGCTCTAACTTTGATCTACATTCTGCAGCCCGACAGCCGTCCTCTCATTCACGAGTGAGCTTACCCACTCACCTCACCTCACTCCACTGACTCACTCGATCCGCTATCATTCCTCTTCCTTCCGCCTTTGCCTCCAATATAAACACAAAGTTCACCCACTAGCAACAAGGGCATTTCGACTAGTAGCAAGAAGCTACTAGTAGCTATTTGCTACTAGTAGTGCTGCACTTGTCACTAGTAGCGAAGCACCTGGCTACTAGTAGCAAGAAGTTACTAGTAGCAAGTGTGTACCAGATATAAATAAACACCAAAGGTTTCACCCACTCCTCTATGCCCCTCTCTAGTAGCAATGGCCTCCAACCTAAAAGCAAACTATGTTAGACCTTTCTTCCTTTACTTCTTTCTTTGCTTCTAATAGCGATGGCCTCCAACCTACTAGCGATGTCTTATAACCTTCCAGCAATGGCTGCAGGCCTTGAGAAAGGGTCGTTGGAGAAGAAGTTTGCCAAAGGCAGGAAGAGATTCGCCGTTATCGTTTGACTAGAGAGGCTGAGTTGGTTGATTTGTTGTTCACTGTGTCGTTTACAAAGAACATATTTGTGTCAGGGATTGGCTGATTCGTGCGGTGCAGGATGTCCGGGAGTTCAGGCGTTGTGGTAGTATAGATGGCTTGCTTCATGCCCAGCTCTTTGAAGAAGAGAATTATGTTTTTCACGTGTTCCGAAATATGGTGATATTTGTTCTGGTGTGTGTCTGGTATACATTCTGACGATCAAACATCAGTTCTGACATTCGTCTGGCAAGTGTTCCGACATGCCAGTTTCATGACTACATGCTTTGCGCCTGCTGATTTAAGTCTGCCACGCTTGCAAATGAAGCTCACAAATCTGGCAAAGAAGACCTCTAGCTTTGCGCTCCAACTCCGAAACTGTCTTGATACGCTGGGCTAAACTGCCTTGTGCAAGACGGCCTGTGGCATGTTTAGTATCTGTTGTTCCAGGTGATGGCTGACATGTTTGTGCTTGTTTAAGGCATGCTTAGACACCTCACACGTGTTTGAACTATCAGAGAAGCTCTACTGCAACTGACAGCGACTTGACTGGACGCAGTACAACTGTCTGAAATGCCACAATGAGAGTCACTGGAAGTAAAGTAACTTCATCTTTTTGTCGCCTTTAGACCTTCCTTTCAATCGCACCACGCACAGTTTAATTTGGCGAGCCATCGCTATTAGGTTGGAGGCCATCGCTACCAGGTTCCTTTTGCTATTAGCTTCTTGCTCCTAGTAGTATGGCCAGGAGCCCCTAGTAGCGTCCTTGCTCCTAGTAGCTTCTTGTTACTACTAGTAAGGCACTTGTTACTAGAAGCGATGCACCTGTCCTAGTAGCGATGCCCTTTGCTCCTTGTCGTCCCTGATACTTTGTCCATCCCGCTCCTGTCGTGCAGGCTCATTCAACTGCCCTGGAGCAACCTTGGTTAAAAGAAGCCGAGCAATGGCAACTAGGGAAAGCTTGGTTAAAGAACCGTGGTTTGAACACGATGCAACAAACTGTAAAGCTTTGTAGGGTGTTTGCTAGTAGGTTGAAGGCCATTGCTTGTAGGTTGGAGGGCCGAGCAGCAAAAGGACGTCCACCATTTCCTTCTAACCTTTCCACCTTCGACTTCAGCTCATCCTCGCCAGCCAAGCCATGCAAAAGCTCAAAAGGAAAGCAAACGTAGCCAAACCTTTTCATGTTTGATTGGACTGGTCCTTGTCATGCTGTATCTTGAAGACTTGCCCTCTTGCTCTCACAAGCTCGGCTTTCACCTGGAAAGCGAAAAAGGCAGGCGCTATCGAAGGGGCTAGCTTTCGGATGGAGGCCATCGCTTCTAGGAGCAAAGGGCATCGCTACTAGGAGCAAAGACGCTACTAGGCTCCTGGCCTAGGAGCAATGTTCGCTACTAGTAGCGCAGGGCCTTACTACTAGGAGCAAGGACGCTATCAGGACCATTCGGATGGAGGCCATCGCTGGTTGGATGATGTGATGTGACGGTGCTACCTTGAGCATCGTCAGGTTCCAACCTGTTCCTAATAGCGTTCTTGTTCCTAGTAGCTTCTTGTTCCTGCTAGTAAGGCACTTGTTCCTAGTAGCGATGCACTTGTTACTAGTAGCTTCTTGTTCCTAGTAGTAAGGCCCTTTGCTCCTAGTAGCGATGCACTTGTTCCTACTAGCGCAAACAATATATTAAATGAACGATGCCGACAATACCTAATGCTAGTTCGTCTTCTTTTTTGGTTCCTTTCGAGGAAACATGCTTTCCATGTGTAGACGTCTCTAAGATCCACTAAGGATCCAAAAAGGAAAGCTGAGGAAAGGATCTGCTGTCTTGCCTCATCCAATGTTGCATATCGCATATCCTAACAAAAGCAAAGCGGAGCAACGTATCAAACAAGCAATGGCCTCTTTTCAAATCTGAGCGGAAACAAAAAGCAACAAACTCTAATAGCTTCTTGTTACTACTAGCAAATCCCTTGCTCCTAGAAGTGATGCACTTGTTTCTAGTAGCAACAAACTCTCGACAAATCAAGGCATTGTGCCACTTGCAATGACCATAGACGAAACGGAAGCGGAGGAAGCAAAGGACCAGCAAGTGACACCGCTGTGACACCAAAGCATGCAGCACGGCATTTTGTGACAACCGACTATCCCATCCTCCCATGCTCCATCATCGGCTTGCGCTACCACGGGTGCCACGGCCTCAGAAACAAAGACTGTGAACCTAACAGCAATGACCTCCACCCTAGTAGCATCCTTGCTCCTAGTAGCGATGCCCTTTGCTCCTAGTAGCGTCCTTGCTCCTACTAGCGATGGCCTCTGCTTCAAGAGCCTCGCCTCTGAAGTGGGCGAAGCTTGCGCAGCTTGTTGCGCAGCTTGCGCTCGCGCAGCTTCAAATTTGGCCTCTTTGGAACGGTTTTCAGAGGCGGTGAGAACATGTTGACCGTTTTGACACGTGCCCAAGTTTCGCCCGCAAAACATGGAGAGGCCCCTTTAAGATGGACCTCTTTCCTCCTTTTGAAAGGCTTTGTTTTTTCTCGGCCTCCTCTTTTGCTTGAGCCACACGCTCCTGGCAACTGCGCACCCACGAACGAAATCTTCCCATGGGCCGTTGGGCGACGGCTTATGCTGGTAGTAACAAGTGCCACGCTACTAGGAACAAGAAGCTTCTGGTAAACAAGTGCCTTACTAGCAGTAACAAGAAGCTACTACTAACAAGTGCCACGCTACTAGTAACAAGTGCCTTACTAGTAGTAACAATGTTAGCTATTAGAAACAAGTGCCTTACTAGGGCTCCTGGCCTTACGAACGGAACAAGCATCTTTGCTCCTAGTAGCGATGCACCTGTTACTAATAGCTTTTTTGCTAAGCAGGAAATCAGAATTAGAATAGTAGGTGGCCTCCACCTAGTAGGTTCTTGCTACTAGCAATGACCTCCACCCTAGTAGCGATGGCCTCCAACCTAACATATCAGATGACTCAGATGCCATACCCCGCATGCCACACATGCTTAGTTCAACATCTTATCTTGTCGATACTCTTAAGCAGTCTAAACCAAGAAGCACCCGAACCCGAGCTTCTTGCAATTCTTCTTGGTATCTAGAGGAGTCCTGGCAACAAAAGTTGTCGTGCTGCGCTTGGCTTATGCTAGGCAACTGCTTCAGGTTTCAGCACCGCCACAAACACAACATGGACCTGCAGACTGGCAGCAGAATACTAAAACCAGCACATCAGCGCCTCTTACACACCCCGTATATCAGCACCGCCTGCACACAGCCCCTCAGATGGTGCACCACATCACGGCCAAGCCTCCAAGAGCTGGTTCTTCACTCTCTCCAACTCATCCTGAAACACGGAGTTTCGATAGAAACAATTTCCAATTCCAACCTACTAGGGTGCTCCTAGTAGCGATGCCCTTTGTTCCTAGTAGCGAACATTGCTCCTAGTAGTAAGGCCAGGAGCCCCGTTCGTAGCGTCCTTTGCTCCTAGTAGCGATTTCCTCCAGCCCAATTTTCGGCCCCCTTGTGCTCGGTATCAAATCCTGAATGATAGGTCGTGCCTTTCATTCGTTCAGCCTGCTTACAATCACTCTGTGGACTTCGGCGACGCCCCCGACCTTTAAACTCCAGAAAGAAGAAGGATTCGATTTTTTGTTCTTTTTTCTGACGAATTCCGCATTATGGCAACAACGGGCAAGACAACCACACAAATGGCCAACAACGGGTTGCCGCCAACCTAGTTACCTCTTCTCCGCGTGTTTCACGGTGTGATGTCAATCGTCACGGTTCTCCGCACCTCCGTGAACTTGAGCTTCTGCTTGACGATGTCTAATTCACCTGCAGCAACGCCTCTGTCATAGGCGCGCACCTGCATCAAGAATACGTAGCGTGCACTAGGGGACCCTCAGGGCCCTCACATCGCCTGGAATGGCCTCCAACCTCATTCAACTACTAGGAGCAAAGGACGCTACTAGGAGCTCCTGGCCTTACTACTAGGAGCAAAGGACGCTACTAGGGGCTCCTGGCATCGCTACTAGGAGCAAAGGACGCTACTAGTAACAAGTGCATTACCTCAATCTTCTTTTGAGATATGAATCGTGATGGCCTCCAACCTAGTATGGACTGGCGCCCATTCAAGGGACGCTGCAAATGACAAGTGGGATCTTTTGATCTGCCCTCGCGCTGAGCAAATCAACCCTGCCTGGAGTGCCATCACGCCGTCCTCAAGGAACTTCAAGAAAGATTCGCCTAAGAAATCAGGTTTTAGATCTCAGGCCGCTTGTTCCTAGTTCCCTCCACCCTAATAGCGTCCGATCGCTCCTAGTAGCGATGCCCGTTGCTCCTAGTAGCGAACATTGCTCCTACTAGCGATGCCAGGAGCCCCTAGTAGCGCGCGAAAAAGCTCCTAGTAGCTCCTTGTCACTAGAGGCTTCTAGTTCCTAGTAAGGCCAGGAGCTCCTAGCGTCCGATCGTTCCTAATTTTGGTTTCAGATCTCAGGCCGCTTTGATTTTTGGCGATCACATGTGATCACGGGCCACCACGGGTGGTTTGCTCAGGCAAAGGGGCTGCAAGTCTGTTTGAACTCGAAGGTATACCTCGGATCGCCAAAAAGGTGGAACGAGAAAGAAAAACACGAAAACAACAAAGGAAAGAACAAAAAAACGAAAGACAACAAATACAACTTTAAAAAAAATAAAACACATTGTTTTAGTTTTTAGTTTTTCGGACCCGAGGTGCTGCAGGTTTTCCGCTTGCGCGGCCGGAGACACGTGCTCCATGCGGCCCTCCGTGTCGAACCAGGAAAAGCGCACGAAGAAGCTTCCCCTCGGAGCGGTTTGTAATTCCATTCAAGGCCTTACTAGTAGTAACAAGTGCCACGCTAGTAGTAACAAGTGCCTTACTACTAGTAACAAGAAGCTTTTTAGAATTAATTTAAAGTAAATTTAAAGAAGCGGTTTGTGGATTTAGTTTAAACACTATTAGTTTATGAGCTTTTTCGCGCGCACGCGCGCGGGGGGGAAGGCCGCTAGAGGTCAAGAAGTTGAGGTAGCTAGCTAGAGTAGAGCTAGCTAGTACCTACAAGGAACGCTACTACAGACAGGACGCAGGATAGCGCTCGCACTATTCATTTGGTTTCTAGATTTTTAGGGAAACTTAGGGTTGGAGGCCATCGCTACAAGGATGGAGGCCATAATCGCTATAGTGGGGTGGAAGAAGCACATTTATATAATTGTTATATAAGCTTGTTTTAGGCAATCACGATTCTGTCAACTTGAGCTTCTGGTTCCGAACAAAATTTCTTCATTGACCTATTCAAACATTTTATGCAAAACAAGTTCTAGCATCTATCCTCCAAGAAGCCAGTTCTTGCTCTCAGCGTTTTCATAAGACAGTCGTCCGAAGGACACCTCAATCGGTCACAGCTAGCTGAGTGACACTAAATTAAGTTCCTTTGCTCCCAGTAGTAAGGCCTGGAGTGCCTTTGTAAGACTTCAATTTTCTGATTTCTGATTGTCTTTGAGCCCAATGGCGCTGCCAATCACCTCCTGGTCCTTTAGAACTCCACTTCCGGCCTCAGAACGGCTGAAGAAACCCAAATCAAAACGAACCTTTGATTTGGCCTCCAACCTCCTAGTAGCGTCCTTGCTCCTAGTAGTAATTTTAATTCTAATCAAACTTTCTATTCTAATTCTTGTTACTACTAGTAAGGCCCTGATCGGTCGCAAAAGGGCGAGACGCTGAGTCCGGGGCAGCTGTGCTGATTCGCATCATGGAAGGCTTGGAACTCAAACACATGCGCATGCTCACTTCGACAGCACCTGGCATCACAGCGCCCGAATCAATGAATTCATGTAGAAGGCCATTGCTAGTAGTAACAAGGGCATCGCTACTAGGGGCTCCTGGCATCGCTACTAGGAGCATTCTTACTACTAGGTATCACCGAACAAAATTGAGCATCTATATGCCCAGTCTATGCCTGAGACGTTGCCCGAGAAGTCTCGCAATGTAATGTACTCCCTCACCTTGGCAAGCACGGAGCAACTGAAGACTGGCAAACATCCATTGCTCCGCTATAACTATTAAGTTAAGTTACTTCATTTTAGTTTAATTTAAGTTACTTCTTTTGGGCTCATTTTTTAAAGGCCGGTCTGCCCTCCAACCTAAGAGCGAACAAAAGAAGGCAATTTCCACCAGGCAGCCAAGTCCAGCTTCAGCAGGGGTGTTACTCCAATCGCTGCGGTGCCAACAAGTTGATGCCTCAGCCGGGCCAAACTAGGCAAGCACCTCTAAAGAAGGCAAAGAAGGCGCTAATAGTAGCTTCTTGCTACTAGTAGTGATGCCCTCGTTAGTAGTAGCGATGCACTTGTCACTAGTAGCTTTATTGTTCCTAGTAAGGCCAGGAGGCCCTAGTAGCGGCCTTGCTCCTAGTAGCGATGCACTTTGCTCCTAGTAGCGTTCTTGCTCCCAATAGCTTCTTGTTACTACTAGTAAGGCACTTGTTCCTAGTAGCGATGCACTTGTTCCTAGTAGCTTCTCGGAATGGGCCGAGCGGCTCTAGATTGTCCCAAAAAATGTCAAAGTCCTGTCGACGAAGCGCGGTGCTGTGCTCCCTCGGAACCGAATGGTGGAACTGGACGGTTCCTGACCTTTCTTCCTAGTAGCGGTGCCAGGAGTCCCTAATAGCGTTCTTGCTCCTAGTAGTAAGGCCAGGAGCCCCTAGAAGCTTCTTGTTACTAATTAAGCGATGGCCTCCAAATGAATAGCAATGATATATCAATGATGTTGAGAGATCTCCACGTCACACAGCACGTCCTCCTCCGTTGTTGCTTGACCCGCTGGCCGATTTGCAAAGCCCAACATCTTCACAAAGCGATCTTGAAATTTCCTCGATTGATGGACAAGAGGAGTATTTCGGGCATCGCTACTAGGGGCTCCTGGCCTTGCTACTAGGAGCAGGAAGGCTACTAGGAGCAAAGGGCATCGCTATTTTGAAATGCCGTCGTGATGTCTCAATTGAGTCCATTTCCTGATGTCCCAATCGCCTGGTTCATCTTGATTTCTTGTTTCGTTCGGACCGAGGTATCCTCACCACCATGCTCGCGTAAGTCTTTTGGTCCTTACTTTCTATGAAAAGGTGCCTAGAGAAACCGTGAAAAACCTCTACCCAAAGAATGGAATTGCAAGTGTGCCACAACATGCCACACAGCCCACAAGGGGGTGAGGGTGAGAGAACACCGAACGCCGAATCCCATGAAAAGAAACTGGATCGACCACAGTTGTTTCTTCTCGGTCGAGGACTGCTCAGCCTGTCGCACTGGAAAGAAGCGAACCCAAACGAATGCTCTTTCGCTTCCTTTTTGAAATACCGAAAACTTGCTGTAAGTGAGAACGTTCAAAGAAGAACAACTATATTCAAATGCATCGCATAGTGCTTCGCATAGTGCTTCGCATAATGCTTCGCATAATGCTTCGCATTGGCAAGTTGCTCATTGTTCTTGAGAACGGGTAGTGAAATGAATCCTTTCTCTTGTCAACCTTTCCTTTTCTGTGTTATTCTGTCTTCCGTCTTCCCTTTTTCTTGTTTTCTTCTTTAGACCTTTCTTCCGTTACTTCTTCCTTTCTTTTGGGCCCTTTGTCCCTTTTTTCGTCTTTAGACTCTTTCATTTTTAGTTGTTTCTCCAAATGCATCCTTCCTTAGTGTTTACCCTTTTCTTCTTTAGACCCTTCTTCTTTTAACACGTGCTCCTCTTTTTGGTTGCTTTTTCTTTACACACGTGATCCTTTTCTCCATTCTTTGTCCTTTGTCCCTTAGACCTTTCTTCAGACTATTTTAGCTTTTCTCTTTGACCTTTCTTCCATGTTTTGTCCTTTGCCCTTTGTTTTCTTCCTTTTGCATTTTGTCATTTTGTGTTACCCTTCTCTTTTTCGCTTGCTTTTTGCTTTGGACCTTTCTCTATATGTTTTTTCTGTTAGGCCTGCGCCATAATATCTTTTAAACACGGTAGTGAAATCCAAAACGGGATCGGCGCCTTGATCTGCAAAAGCAATCGCTTGGGCGCCACTGCTTCATCTCCACCATCATCAAATGTAGCACGGCGAGACCTAACGTGGCTCCAAAAAAACACTCAAAGTATTGATGTCTTTTGACGAACAAACAGACCTAAGGTCTCTTGAAACAGAACATGCCGTTCGGTTTGTCTTTTGTTTCTCAAGAATGGTCCCGCTTTGGTCAAATTGGCTTAGTGCGTTCTTCCGACTCGACCCCACTGGGCTACCTTAGGAGCGGCCTCCAACCTAAGAGCGATGGCCTCCCAGCCGGGCTGGGCCCTAAAGACTGATTTCCTCAACGCCATTGTTGCACCATGCGAAGGTTGTGTGACGCGTGGTTTGTACTTGCGCCAGCATCTCACTAATCCTACCGACTCATTTGTTGCGCTTCTAGTAAGCACAATGACCTAAGTAAGAAGGGACAATCGAGGACGCCAGGAGCACACGCACCGTTTTCTTGGTTTGTTCAAGTCAAAACTTATGGCCGGTGAGGCCGGGGGCAGTGCGCGAAAACGCAAGTGAAAAACCATTGAAAGCGAAAAAAAGGAAAGACACAAGAACTTAGTAAAGAAACTAGAAAGTAATGCTCCTAGTAGCGATGCCAGGAGCCCCTAGTAGCGTCCTTGCTCCTAGTAGCGATGGCCTCCAACCTAATAGCAATGGCCTCCCCAAGACGCAAGGGAGAACAAGCGAAGTGCTCAGAGAATTCCCGGAAAAAATGCCCTGACATGTTCGAGTTAGAGCCAAGTCGATGAGACGCTGCAGAGTATATGCTGTACACACGGGGGTCCCGCCGAGTCAGTTGCATGTGAGAAGGATGTTGCAACGCTGCAGTTTGATCGCTTCTAGTAGCGATGCCCTTTGCTCCTAGTAGCGTCCTTGCTCCTAGTAGTAAGGCCACGAGCCCCTAGTAGCGTCCTTGCTCCTAGTAGCTTCTTGATGGTAGCCAGTGAAAACTCCCAGCTTGAACGAATATGTGAGATGTTGCCTGAAGGATAAGAACCGCAGGTGTTGTCGTATCACGTCTTTGCACCTATCATCTAATCGTTGGATTTGTTCAGGGGCGGGCGAGTAATAACTTGAAGTTTATTGTTTCTAATAGCTTCTTGTTACTACTAGTAAGGCACTTGTTACTAGAAGCGATGCACTTGTTCCCTTATTGAATATTAAAAGGATTTGCCGCTTTGATGCCGGTGTGGAAAGAAGTTGCAAATTATGGGGAGCTGATCTCGCCGTGTAGGGCGTTCGTAAAATGACCTCAGATGCTACTAGTAGCCAGAAGCTACTAGTGGCTCCGGGCATCGCAAATAGGAGCAAGGATGCTACTAGTAGGTCTTTAGCGCCGCAACTCAATCCACCCCTTGTGCCCGCTTCTTGCTACTAGTGGTATGCTCCCGACTTTCAAAAAATCTGCAGATGTGCCATGAAACCCTGCTACTAGTAACAAGAAGCTACTAGGAACAAAAGGCATCGCTACTAGGAGCAAGGACTCTACTAGGGGCGCTCCTGGTATTTCTACATATTTCTACTAGTAGACAGGGTGGACGCCAGCCGCCAGTGAACAACAACCCCCCAGCCTGGGATCAATGGCATCCACGAAATGAAAACTGTACCTGCGGAAAGGGAAGAAAGGGAAAGGGAAAACGCTGTGAAACTAAGGGAGCGCATTTTTCTGTCTCACGTCGAACAGAATTGACAAAAAGCATAGAACCAATGCAAAACAGAAGCTAGAACAATCAAATCCTAGGGTCGAGGTCATTGCTATTAGGTTGGAAGCTACTAGGTAAAAGGCCATTGCGTCTTCCCGTTTCTGAAACAAGACAGCCTTGCTTTTATGCGATTTTGAGCCAAGGAGCTGGACACCAAAACCCGAAGCAATGCGGTTGGCCTTTGCAAGGAATCTTGTTCCGTTTGAAGCGTCCGATCGCTCCCAGACGCGATGCCCTTTGCTCCGTTCGTAGCGTCCTTTGTTCCTAGTAGTAAGGCCAGGAGCCCCTAGTAGCGTCATTGTTCCTAGTACGTCTTTCTTGCTTTTGCAAATAAAACATTTGTGAACAACATTGCCTCTTTTGCACATGATTGAATACATGCCTCTTGTTACGAGCTTGTTACTAGAAGAGATGGCCCCCAACCTAATAGCAATGGCCCTCAGGCCTTCACCTAGTAAGCTTCTAGTTACTAAGAAGCTTCAAAGACGTACTAAAAAGCTTGTTACTACAGGTGAAACGATTCCCAAAGAAGCTTCCTTGCCTCAACCATTCGAGGTTGAATATCTGCCATCTGCTGACGCGACAAACGGATGTCCAATTCAAAGCGTTCATCCTCACGAGGAACGCGTCCGAGGAACCACATCCATTTCGGCAGTGCTCGCTAGTAGCGAACATTGTTTCTAATAGCTTCTTGTTACCTATTAGTAAGGCACTTGTTCCTAGTAGCGATGCACTTGTTACTAGTAGCTTCTTGTTACTAGTAGTAAGGCACTTGTTCCTAGTAGCGATGCACTTGTTACTAGTAGCTTCTTGTTACTAGTAGTAAGGCACTTGCTACTAGTAGCGAACATTGTTTCTAATTTCTAATAGCTTCTTGTTACCTATTAGTAAGGCACTTGTTCCTAGTAGCGATGCACTTGTTACTAGTAGCTTCTTGTTACTAGTAGTAAGGAGCCACAAGGCCCAAAGCCTGAAGGCTTAGGCGTCCGGCCGCCTGCGGCCGTCTGCCGTTCCGCGAGGAACGGGGACGGTGTCCACTAGGCACTCTACAACAGAGTGCCAGCCGCTTCCCGTGACCTGTTGTTCCTCCTGCTTCGATAGAGGACTTTCGCCATGGACTTGCTGGACCCCAGTCTGCGGGATCTTATCCAGGAGATCGATGACTGCCATGTCCGAGGCCTTTTCTCGGGGTTGAAACCTGGACCCACGCCAACCGTGGGGGCCAGGACTTTCATTGCTGGTGAGGTTTTGGACTATGGGGATGAGTGGGTTGATCTTCGAGCGTTATGGTTCACACCTGCCGCAGGCTTTGTTGAATCCAATGACGACTCGAGGGTCCGCGTCTCCTTTCGTGATCCTCGGAACAGGTGCTTACATTTGTGCAAAGGCATTGACATTGTGTGCTCTGGAGAACGAGTTGAACCCAGCAGCAGCATCATCAAGCTTGATAAAGCACACATCTGTTTCAAACCAGAGCTGGTTTCCTCTCTCCCATGGGACGTGGCGCACCTCTTCTGTGGTGCTTTCTGTGGGTGGCACCATGGATTGAAGTGGTTGGACTCAGAGGCGAGGGCCATTTGTGTTGGACAAGAACTGTTCATTGATCATGATAGTGAAGTCATGACAATCTGGCAAGCGAAGTATGCTACACCTGTCCGAACACTGCCCTTGACATCGGGTCGATCGTGGAGCCATGGAAAATTTGTTGGGTTGTGTGGAGAAGTCGGTGAGCCGAGCATCATCGAGGCCTGTCGAACACAAGCCAACTTGATGGTGACCATGTCACCCCCTTGCCAATCATGGAGCAAGGGTGGTTTGAAAGCAGGGCTGTCTGATAGCAACGGCAAAGCGTTTCTGGATGCTTTGGAACTCGCTTTTTCTTTGCAGGCAATTGTGATCTCTGCGGAGTGTGCCGACGATGTTGTGGCACATCCTCATTTTCGTTTAGTGAAAGCCTTTGCTCACGTGCTAGGCTACCGCCTTGTTTGGGACCAAGTCACTCCATATAATTCCATGGTTGCACATGCCAGGACTCGTTGGTTGGGCGTTTGGACTAGGGCGGACATCCAGAGCCAGGCCTTTCCGTTCGTTCTCAAATTGCCCATGATCCCAAGGTCCCATTGGACCGATCAGGCCTATCATTTCAGACTGCCTTCCATGTGGGTTTCACAGCTGCTGCTTTCACCATCGGAATGCAAAATTTACGACTCGGTCGAATTCCTTCCTCCCGCAAAGCGTGCCAGGTTCGAGAACAACCTCAACAAGACCAATGAGATCATCAGATCCAGAATCCCGAGTGGCTCTGAGGTGCTGCCCACCTTGTGCGCCTCATATACACGCCAGCATGAGCTTGCCAGACACCACCTGGCACAGAAAGGGATTTTTGCCTGTCTTCAAGAGCATGCTTCAGGCTTCTCCTTCTTCGATCCGGCCATGTTCAGCTGTCTTTTTGGGGCTACTGAGCATGTAGTGCTTTCTGAGAAGGTGAGTGAGTCTTTTCACTTCATAGGCAATGCGATCACTGTCCCACACAGTGTTTTGACGCTATGCATCGCCTTGCATGCAGTCAGTGAATGTAGGATTGACCCGATCGGCCTTGTTCGCAATGCTTGGTTTAGCCGGCTCACGACTCACAATAGCATCCTGTTCGCTCACGAGGGTCTCGTGCATTTGATCCCCACAGGTGATTTCTGGAATTGGATTTCCATTCGAAAGGAACAGCCCATTGATTCTGACCGTGTGTGGATTCTTTTCGGAACCTGTGCCAACAGATATTTCGAATGCCATGCCAAGTCAAAGCAGACCCTGATGCAAGTTTTCGGGGAGCATTTCTGTGGACCGACGTCGATCCTTGAGCAAATTTATGGTAGGGTTGACGATTTCCACTCCGACGATCGCACCCTCGTTGAGCAGTTTGCAGGACGTGAACCATCCTTGAGGCTCATGGCCGGACTTGCCACCATTGGCAATTGTGAGATTCGTGCTTACTCACATTTTGCCCATACTAAGGTCATCGATGATTCCCCGAAGTTGGCGGGCGCCCTTGACATTGTCGTGCCACCGCGGCGAGACCTTCAATATCATTCTGGGCTGGAAGTGTTCTGGATGATGCAGGAGATCGTCGAAACACTGCAAGACGATTCTTCGGCCAAGAATTTTGCTGCCAATATTGTTGTACAGCCAGAAGAGGTCAACATCACCGTTTTCCTCACAAAAGAAAACTGTCAACACTTTTTGGAGCAGGTTTCTCAGCTCTCCATCTTTCAAGGGAGGAACAAGCACTTCGCTCGCATTCCAGGGGAGGCTACATTTTCTCTGTTCATCTTTGAGGCCAAAGATTGCGATAAAGCACCATATGCTGAGGCTGTTGTTCGGCTCCACAACGAGCCGCTTGGAGGTATTCAGATCCCGATCAGCAGGCCTGCTGTCCAGTTCCGCCTCCAAGAGTCCTGCAATCCCTTGAAGATCTATGAGATCAATGGCTTACCTGCATGCAATTCCTCCCATTCCATCAAGGATGGAGACATCATCGATCTATGTTTTGCTGCACCGACACGGGCAGGGGGGCACCACCTTAATCTGGTTGCTCCACCTTC